TCTAGCGTTTATATAAAGCGACCGCCTAGGCTTTGATCCTATCTTTTTCCTCCACCACGCAAACGTCGACAGGATGCTGTCTCTCTGGGCCGCTCTGAACCCTAACGTATGGGTCACGTCCGGCCCCGCTGAAGACGGAACATGGACGATTCCGCCTACAGCCACAATCGACAAAAACACATGTGCGTCACGCTCATATTTCAACGTCATGCCTGCATTCCCCGCTAATTATAACCCGTCTGGACATCTACAGCCCTCACACCGTTCTGGGACAAACCCACCGGGTACTGGCCGTCCTCCGCAGTCGAAATGACAGGGAAACTTGGCTACACCTACCCTGAGTTCAACGGATTGGACATGGGGAACCCGAACGCTGTTAAGGCTGCACTTGCCCAGATCGTCAACAAGCTTTACGGCGGCCCAAGCACCAATCGGTTCGTCTCCCTCGCGGCCCAAGCTCCCGCGCGGGGTGCTGCTGCAGGCCAATCCCAAAGCCTCGGCCAGCAACCCAAGGCTGGCGCCCAAGCTCTTGCGAATGCGGCTCCTGCGCAGCTCGTGGGTCAAGCAGGCGCCTCGAACCCACAGACGGCGTCAGTTCAGTCCTTCGGCTCCAGCGCAAACGTCATCTGGGAATGGACCGCGCGCATTCACATCGAGCAGTACGCCATCGGTGGCAGTTTCTCCGTGCTGCTCTTCCTTGGCAATGTGCCTTCCAACCCGGATGAGTGGCGCACCAGCCCTAACTTCGTCGGTGCGCACCATGCGTTCGTGAATAGCGTGCCGGCGCACTGCGCAAACTGCCGCAGGCAGGGTGGACTCGTGGTCGAGGGTTTCGTGCATCTCAACGAGGGGATCGCGCGGCTCTCAGGGCTGGGCTCGTTGGAGCCGGATGTCGTGAAGCCTTATTTGACGAAGGAGCTGCATTGGGTTGTGCAGAAGGTGCGTTTTGGCCGTAATCCGTGCGGACATGTGTTGATGAGAGTCCATGCAAATTTTAGGTCGACGGCACATCTGTTCCACTGGCGGATGTTCCGTCGCTGGAAGTCACGGTGATTGCTACACCACTCTCCTTGGAGCCAGGCGAGGTGTTCCCCGTCCCCGGAGATGCAGTTCATCATCATGATGTCACCCATGGGCGTCAGGGCGGCTCTCGCCATGCCTAAGTGCTAGGTCCTCTAGCGTCTCGAGCAGAATAACATGCGCCAGTTGTGTACGACTAGTATCCTCGGTGTTTGGCCTTGTTTACGTGTCATGTTTGAACCGTGTTGTATGTTTGCTGTATGCCCCCTTGTAATTTTACTGCCCAACGCTTCTTCCCCATGTATGTACTTTCCGTGCAGAAATCTAGCAGCTATAGCGCCCCAGTACTGCGAAGTGAGAGAGAAAAAATTGATCTCACAATTTCAAGGTCATCTCAGGGAAAGAAAAGGCATCACAGTTGATCACAAAGCTGCTGAAGTACAATTAAAAGTCGCCGCCCATAGCGTCTTCGTCATCCAACTCTCCTTCTTGGATCTCCTTCGCGAGCTCCTTCTCACGCTCACGAGCACCCTCCGCTGCAGCGAGCTCTTTACGGTGCGCATTCAGTGGGTAGCGCATCGCCTGCAGGAACCCTACTCAGTTCTCTATAACAGTTGAAACCAAGGTAGAAACGTACCTTGACACTCTCATTGTGCAACTCCAGGCAGTAGCCAATGCGCCGCGAGAACATCTCGCTGACTTCAGGTCCATAGCCGCTCTTCTGCGTGCCACACTCCATCCAGCCCTTCTCATGCACGATGCGACCTTCGATGACACCGTCGCGAATGGCCTTGCCCACAATGTACTCCGCATCTTCCTCCGAGTCGAGGTGCAGCTTCACGCAGATGTCGCGGAGCGAGATGCGGGCATACGAGAGCGACAGTCGCCGGATGCCGGTTTTGATGACATTCTGTCGGAGACGCACGATCAGGGAGTATGTCTTGTCAGCTTCGAACTGCGCGGCATGTTGCTGGAGAGTGGATGCGAATTGGGAAAGGGAACCCGCGCGCACGGCTGGCGTATCATGGTCGTAATCAGCAGAGTGTCAAAGGAAAACGGAGCTGGATGCACCTTTGACGATATCAAAATATCCACGCAGGGCCTTCTCGAGGACGGGATGCCGGAATGTGCTACGCTCAGGGATATCACCCATGAGCAGCTCGACGACGACGCAAAGCTTGTGCACGGCCTGGTAGAATCCAGGGGCAGTGCGCGGAGGTGGCGCACGGCGGATCGCGTTCTGTAAGTTGGTATGCGCATCCGTGTAGTTAAGCTGCACCGCGCGGATGCGGCCGAGGTAGTAGTGGTAGCGTGCGTATTGTGTCGTTGGCGCTGATGCAGGGAACTTGGTCTTGGAAATGAGCTTGTCGGCCTGATCGTAGAGACTATACTGGATGTAACTCCGCAAGAGACGGTTGATAAGCGAGGCCTGCGTCTCGTCGTCGTGGCGGAGAGATGCCGTGCGCTGTGCCGCCAAGAAAAGTCTGTATATCCTGAAGTCAGACGAGCGCATAAGAGTAGAGTTTATGATACTTACGGCCTAGCGTCGGAGAGCTCAGCTCCAAGCTCATATGCCCGCTCGACTGCGAACCACACCTTAGCAGCGATGGGATCCATGCTTCGCCTATTGAGCGACTGGATCTTCTGTATGGTCTCCTGTGCAAGCTCAAGGGCTTTCCCGTAGTGACTCTGGTTCGTCAAAAGGTGGTGCAGAACGAGGAGGCGGAGGTATATTTCCACTTCTGGAACAGGATCAGATGCGGGCGAGGTCTTTGGTGGTGTAGACGAGTCGACGTCCATGGATTGGTCTTCGGCTGGGACATTTGGGAGCCAGACAAGTAACGACGCCTTCACAGCCGAGTCTGTAGTCAAACGTGGGCGTCAACGCTTTCATCACAGACAAATACTACATACCTTTGGGATAAATCTCCACAATAGCGTCGTGTAGGACTTTATCATCAAGGCGTTTGCGAATAGCAGCAAGAGAACGCAAGACGCGGTGGGTAAAGCGAGGTTCGATATTATGCACGGCTTTCTCAATGAGGGCAGCGTTAGACTTGATTTCAGCAACAGGCGAAAGGGGTGGAGAGGTGGTCTTGGTGTCTTTAGAGACTTCTTCCTTGGATTTAGCGTCTGCAGGCTTCATTTCAACGTCGGCCATGGTGGAGGTGTAAAGGGACGCGAAGACCAGACAAGCTGACGCGTACTTACGCGCGTCGCCACATGGAACATGACCTCTCCATATATATACTTCTTTTTCCTGATACCGGATGGCCTCATAGCCCAGCGGTAGATCATGCGTGCTATGCGGTGTCTCGCTCTTCAAGGCGTTCGAACCGCACTGAATGCTGTATTTTTCCCTCCCAGGAGAATCGTCACAGCAAGTCTGTTTAGCACACCACCCACTGGGATGTACTATTTTGCCTTGTAAAACGGGTCTAAGTCAAACAATCTATGAAGAGTACAAGAAGAAATGTGGTGCTTCAGAAATAGAATGCACGTGATCTCATATCGACGTGTAACAGGAGCCGCAAGCCTGTGCGTTTCGCGTACAACTACGACAACCATGGGCCGCTTTTCCTTCCTCCTGTTGCCCCTGCTGGCGGCGGCGGCAGCCCATGCTTCTCACTTGACTGTTCAATCCCCTCGTTTTTCCGTTCTTTCGCCCACTGGCGAGCAAGTGCGCGCTGAGCCGTACGCGCCACGTCTTTCACGCCTCTTTAGTCCATGCTCACCATTGTGCAGACTCTCCCTATCTCGTCAGCCTGAAAAAGCTGTCGAACTTGGACCTAGCGACACGCTCAAGTTGACATTCACAGTCGCGGAGAAAGAGACGGACAAGGGTGTGCAGCCGCACCAGACCTTCCTTCGCTTCTATGACGAGGCGACCGGCGAGGAGGGCGTCCAGCCTCTGAAAGTATCCGCCTCTGGAAAAGCAAAATTCGAATTGGTACGTGTCTTTCTCTACGCGTGTTTATCTGTACTCAGATGTCCGTGCACAGAATATGGCACGCCCTCCTTCGTCGCTTCCTCCCTCAGGTGAAGCCCCCTTGAAGGTATCACTGCTTCTTGGGTCCTTTACACACGACCCTGCCAAGTTCGACCTTTTCGATCTGCGCATCCCTGAGTCTCTCCCCCCACCCCACCACCCTGATGAGGCGACGTTCCACCCGCTCCCCGAGATTCAGCACACCTTCCGTCCTGAAGAGAAGTCGCCGATGATGTGGATCTCCATGACTTTCCTTTGGATCGTCCTCTCTCCATGGCTCGTGCTCCTGTTCCTTGTACGTCTTCTTCTTTCTCCTTGGTGCTTATACTGAGTATGTGCACGTTACTAGTGGGGCCAAGTCAGCCCGAGTGTCCCGCACCTCTTCTCTGCAAGCACGCTGCCATTCACCCTCTCGCTCATCCTCCTCGAACTCCTCATCATGTGGTACTGGGTTGAGCTTCAGCTCGGTGACATCTTGCTCTACGGGAGTGGCGCATCTGTGCTGGCCGCCGTCACTGGCAAGCAGGCATTGGCAGCTGCAGCTCAGCGTAGGATCAAGGGTGCATGATCCAAATATATATATCGATAGAGGAATGTGTGTGTCCGTTTGACGTAGCGTATATTTATTGCAGCAAAACGACATACGCGGTGGACATCATGTCGACATGTATGGAAAATGTTAGACGATCAGAGCGCAACGCCCTGGCGGATGTAACTGGTAAACAATCTCATTCGGTACGAGTGAGCGAGCAACCGCGCCACATATAACTATCTTCTGTTAAGGTCTGTAAAGGAGACTACGCCACATGCACAGTTGTCCTTCCATTGGGAACGCACATATCGGTGCGCGTGACGTCACTCCCGTCCCTGTGTTACAGTGTCTTCAAGAGCATATATGCACCGGCCAGAGCACCACCTTTCCTTGCAAAACTACCGTCTTATCATCCGAGTTCAGCCTTGTTCCGTAGCCATGACAAGGGACATAAAATTCAGCCCACCGCGAGACTCGAACTCGCAACATTCAGATCGTAAGAGGGTTGCCTTTGAAAGGAACAGTCCTAAAAGTCTGACGCTCTGGCCGATTGAGCTAGGCGGGCTATATTTTTTCGCCTACTATACTAATCCATACGCAGGAACAGTGTAATCATCCCCGGCCGTTATAACACATTTTATTGAACGTGCAGTGAGAATTGACCAGATTCGAGATTGAGCTCATGGGGTTATTAATACATGGTCACAAAATTTTCTGAAGAAAGAACCACCCAATTACAAGGGTACCCATATGTAATACCAATAGTTCTGGTGTAGCAACTGTTGCCGAGCTTACGAGTGGTACACCGTTTGCAATTGTATCGTTGAGACACCTGAGGAAAGCAGTGCTGGACTTATTGTATCCGTCGTCGGTGAGTACGACACTGGTCGCACGGTAATACTGGATAGCTTCTTTCTGTTCTGGGTCCGAAGGACTTGACCCATTGTAAGGGTGAGTGGTGCCGTTCACGAGACCAGCTGAGCTACAGTTCAATGAGATGGAGGATAGAAGGGATGAGAGCGTGCTCTCGTCAGCGAGTACATGTAGAGTGGACATTGACCCATCAACGCGGGACTCAAAACTGGCTTGTGCCAAGGGACCACCTGGCCGACTTGGATTCTCGGGTGTGCCGAACGGTCCGCGAGCATCTTGACTTTCATTCAGGCATCCAACGGTGATGTGTCCAGTAACGTCCCTCCAAACAACAGGCCAGAAATAGAAGGGTAGGTCGTGATTGAGTTGAGTAGCATTGCATCCGAGGTAACTGCTGTCATAATCGCCACACGGTGTCATCACCTTCCAGCAACGTTGAAGTATCAATGTAATTACCTTGGGTCAATCACTTGTTTTCTCGTACCTCCACCGACTGCACTCCCTCCGAAGGGCTGCCCAGCGGGCACTATGATCACTGGGCCGCCACCGTCTCCATAAGCTGTTGCTGACTTCCCTCCAGGAAGGCCGGGCATAGACACATGTGCACCAGGGCTGCCTGCAGGGTGGCCTGCAGACTTACCTCCACCATTACCGCTTTTCCCGCCACCGCCACCGCCCCGTGCGTGTCCCCCACCCCCACCTTTTAAGACTTCAGGAATGTCCCTGCTCAACAGACGATTGTCTTCAGCGGGTGTGGACGTAGACTTGGGAGCGGGCATCGTGGTCGAGAGTGACTGAGTGTGTGGGTACGACAACTCTGGCGGCAGGCTTATATAGCTACCAAAACTTCAACACGTACAATCAGAGGAGGTTATCAAAGCACCCTTGATGTGCTTGGGGCATACTGGAGGAGCGAGTGGTAGTGCCTCCGCCTGCATGTGTCGAGGCGTCGTAAAGTGCTTTGTGCGGCTTCGGAACCCTCGAGCTCTGAAACAGACGCCTATGAAACCGTGAAGAAGAGATGCATTTGGCAGTACATGGGCCCATTGTTCATCTTGATGAGGCGTTGTCAAGTCACGATGCTGGCTGGAGGCGTTTGGACAAATGCTCGTAACACTGCATGCGGGAGGCCATACGAGCCTACCAGTGTATTATTCCTGAATCGCCGAGGACTCTCGCCTGTGATGCAAGAGCGCTTCTTGTTTTGTGAGTATAGCCACGCCTCAGCTGCTATCGATGAACCATGGTCCTGACACAAGTACGTACCTGATATTTGCTATTCTTGTTCCCCGTGATGCACCGTCCTGTCTGGGTCGTCGAGGCAGCACAATACCCAGTGGCCTGCGCACAGCTACAAGAGCGCAGGAACCACCCGACCGGCTCATCTCCAGCACAATGTTGCGCAATCTCTGCCACCGCCAACCCAACGATCACACAGGTGCGGGGCGGTGCAGATGCAAGGCGTGAGCGGACTGTAAAGCGACAAGGAGGTAAGTTGCACAATTGATAACCACCCTTTCGGCGCCGCTGTGTGAAGACAGCGTCAAGCACAGATCCTCAAAGTGGAGACACACGGAACCTTACATTTCAAACCATCAGGGGTGCACGGCATACATTCAAAGGAAAGCACAGGTAGAGATTGCCCAAACAGTGCGAAAAGATCCTTAAGCTTGCCACCACTGCTCGCATTCAAACCATCAAGAATACTCCTTGTTCCTCAGCGACCTTCTTCACCTCCTCGCGAAGCTCCGGATCGTGGTCAAAGGCGCCCCACATGGCGATTTCCTCCCAGCCCGTGTTCCTCAAGACTGACAGAAAGTGTCTCGTAAAGGCTCCGGGTCGGATATTGGACATATGAATGTTGTAGTTGCGAAAATGGATGTTGGGCGGCCGCGGCTTCCTCTCCTTTCGCATGCATACAAGATCAGTGCACATGTCTTTGTCAAGATTGAGACTTTTCAGCTGGTCCATCCGGCCTATCGCCACGTCAATGGCGTACTCCTCGTCATCGTTCTCTCTTGAGAAATCGCATCTATCGAAGGATAGACCTTTAAGAGTACCGGCCATCGCGAACAACCATTCCCTTAGGGCAGAATTTGTGATACCTGTGACCCGCGAAAATTCCACTTGCTGGAGACTGGGAAGTGAGGAAGACGTGATACGCATGAGCTCAGGGTCAGAAGCACGACCTCCTTGTAAGCGGAGTCGCTCTAGCTGACAGATAGGCTCGGGACCATCTCCGTTGCTGAAGAACAAATGATTCAGCAAATATACGGTAATTTCGAGAGGATCGGTGACATACAGATTGATTGAAGTGCTGAACCCGTATATTGTCAAGACACGAAGACTTCGCCAATGTGCCATGCAAGCGATGATATCGGCCAGGCTGAGGACATACGTGGACGGCTCCTTCTCCGGATCGGGAGGCCCTCGGTTGACTATGAACGACGTCACTGCGGCACAGCCGCATAGCGCCTGGATGAACTTGTCCTTCAGCTCGACACAAACATCTTTGATCGTCAGGTCTTCTACCAGAACCGCCAAGGAAAGGGTATCCACAAGCGCCTGCGACAGCTCCTCGTACGTGTCAATTCCGTCGCGGAAGTGGTACGGCGAGAATCGTCGGATCGCACGGCCGCGCTCTGGGTTCAGACGCAGCGCGGAAGCCAAGCCAACCAGCTTGGGCGGCGACCTCCCACCGGCGTACTGCGAGAAGTCCTGGTAGAGCATGATGAACGCGGGAGCCCATTCCCGACAGACGAGTGCAAACGAGAGAAGCGAGGGACGCCAGGGTTCGTTGAGTTCACTCACTAGAGATTGTAGGAATATGAGGTGGAGGATCTCCGGGGGTGGCTGTCTGAAGGGAGGATGGAGGGCCGGTGGGGGCAGGATGCGTACACCGCGGGCAGTCACGCCGATTGGGGCAGGGAGTACGCATTCTATTCCTTCCGGATTTGTTGGCTTAAGCCAGCCTCGAAATGAGCAGCTAGCAGAAAGGAACAGCATGACGGACTTAGAAGATGGGGAGGACGTGCACATTTGGCTGAAGTCGTACACAGTGCGGTAGGCGTTGTCTTCGATGAGCTGCGAAGAACGCAGATATATGCCCGCAGCAGACCATGTCTCGTCGCTTAAATCGACGATCTCGTAGACAACAGTGCATGGCGTGTCGCCTGCGCCCTCTGCTGATCGTGTGTCCTCGGCATCACAAGATACAGCTTGGTAGGGAAGCCCTGGGTCTACTGCACCAGATTTATGTTGAGTCTTGTCTACTTTGACAGTCTGCATTGTAAGCGATCAGGGTGAAACACGTTTCGCTACATGCAGGTGGACTCACGAGGTCTGCAAGTGCCTCCTCATCCTTCCTGCATAGTATCACGATGCGGAACCCGGAGAAGTATTGTTCAGATCCCCAATCGAATTGGGCACAAATACTGAAGCCAGAGTCGTTGTAGTCGGGGATTGGCCCTGTATAGTCGTAGGCATACATCCAGCATCCATCGCGCAATTCGTAGTGTTGAGGACCGGGATTAGAGGATGACATAGAGTGCGGAAGTGGACGCTATCACTGCGTCCGATCGAAGCTTTGGCTGGGTAGATATATGGGTGGGTTATGTACAGTGCAGTGCAGCCTGGGAAGAACACCATAGAACGCAATTTAGAACACCGGGATGACTGTGATAGAAAGCGGTGAACGCACCCCAGGCCGTTCCCCCTGCGGCCTGCGGTACGTACTCCGCCGTGCGTGTTCATTGTAGAGTTCAGATGCCAGGCGGAAGGCACGCGTCGACGAAAGTAAGCTAGAGTTGAAGCGCGTAGATGTGGATCGAGCGAAACGTTGTGCATGTCGGACAGTGGAGGACTGTATGCGCTATACTCGGGCGTACATGCAGCGTGTGTAAGAGAAAGGACGGCGCCGTAGGACACGCGGGGTGGCGCATGCGGCGTCGAATGGGCCTGAGCCAAGCGCGAACGCGAACCATGTGCATTGGCAGTAAATAAAGTTGTACTGTAGTAGTTACCTTCCGGCCACCCTCCCTTTCGAAGCTAGCCATATGGGCACGATTTTCACGCACCCTAGAAGATGTAGCCCAATTATGATCAATGTAGAAATTTCTCAAGACGTTATACGAGTTGCAGTAATTACGTGCTCGGACCCTCTGCTCGTGCGCGCGCCTCGTCTCGTGCACCCTCTCAATCCCCCGCACGCCCTCTGGGTGTGCCGTGCGCTTGTCCGACAGCGGGATTGCGTATAGTTGACCTCAGTCCCATGGCAACTTGTGTGACAGGGACTGGCTGGTTGCCTGAAGAACTGTTCATCGCCTTTCACCGATGCTATCATGGGCGCCAAAAGAATGTATGCGCAGCAGACATGTATACATCACTGGGTCAAGATGTTCTCGATCTGTATATGGGGTGACCGGTAACGCGTAACGAGTCAGTAAACCAATGTATATAACCAGAAGCTGCACAGCGTACCTGGAAGGCCATAAGAGCCGCCATCCCTTCCTGCAATCTTCAATCGCCCTCCATCGTATTCATGTCTCGTCCACCTCCACTACACAACCCCGCGACTGACCTTGCGTCCATCTCTGCCTCACTGCCGGCCCTTTGGGGCTACATCGAACCCGCTCTTGATCACATCTTCCGCTCGCCATCGAACGACATGGCTAAAGCACCCAAGATCGATGC